CTTCCGAGACCATGTAAAAACGTTGTATGAGGTATTTTTACTGTTTGGCAGCACAAAACAACCTTAAATTATGCAAAATTCGAGACTACTTATTCGTGCAAATGTCTTGTTGGTTTGAAGAAGGAAAGGTTCCAACTAGGGGTGGTGGCCATTTCAGGGTTCGGTTCGGTTATGTGCCCATTTGGTTATTTCAGTTTTTTAAAAAATAATAACCATTTGATTTTTACGTTGAATTCGATTTGTTTCTGTTCGGGTTTGGTTATTTCAAATTTAGAAGAACTATAATCATTTGGTGTTTTTTTATATTGAATCAGGTTTGATTATGTTTGGATTTTGTTTTTGTCGATAAAAATACTAATTTGGCAAAGAATATTTTTTATTTTTATATTTAGTTTGGATTTGGTTTTTTCAGTCTGTTATTTAACCTAATTCACTTAGGTTTTCTCTTCCAACAACTTAACTCTTTACTTTTCTCTTTCCTTCGTTTCAGCGCTTCTCCCATGACTTCAAAACTCTCTTAGCCGAAATATTGACATCGGAAGCTGCTTCTCAACAGACAGAGGACGGAAAAACAGCGCTGAACTCGTGGTCAACGTGTAAACGCCTTCTGAAACACGATAAAAGGTACAGCAAGATGCCGAGAAAAGACAGGGAAATCATATGGCGCCGATATGCTGAGGATATATCGAGGAAACAGAAATCGGAAAGCAATCAAAAGAAGGAAAAACAGAAAGATACGAAACCGAAAAACGCAGGCGAGGCCCGGGGGAGGAATTCATGACCAGCCTATTCTTCATGGAGGTAAGTAAAAGCCTATTCTGTGTCAGATCAGCGTCCAATTTTTCTTTGTAGAATTTTGAGAACTTCATTTTATAAGCTTTGTATTGTACATCAACAGTTGGTGTGATTGGTAGCAAGGGTTGGTCACACAGTTTGAAATTTTAAAGACGTATAACATGGTTCACGTGTCTTTTGTGTCTCTGCTCTTGTTTATCTAATTTAATTTCTTGAACATGTTGACCATTTTGTTGTAATGGTGATAGAAAAAACAAACTATTTACCGTATGGGTACCGGACTTGATCTTCTGAGAATGCAAAACCAAATCTTGTTATGGTTTGCTTATTCGTTCGCACTTGACAACTAGACAAAGATCGAGTTTAACGAGAAAAATGATCAGGACGCCGGTTTTAGATTAACCATGCCTAAAACTTTTTTAAAAAAATACCATTTAAATTTGATATATGTCACCACTTTATTATTAACTTACTTCACTAGAAACTCTAAAATCAGCCCATGAAACTCTAAAATCAGCCCATGAGGTGGGGACTTCGATCCCTCGTCGCCTCACTTCCTCTAACATGTGCGCCTGTCAGTCTCTGGACTGATTTACCTTCCACGTATGTGTTGTAGGTTCATATGCGTGGGATTAGGGTTTTCTCACGTCCACGACGAAAGTACGGTTTGAAGGGTTGTAGGATAGGGGTTTCCAATGTTATAAAAAAAAATTCTAATATCTACCCTCTCTTTGGGCCTCGCCTCACCTTAGCCTTGTTAATATTCCGCATCTTGAACATCTGGAATATATCCAAAACCCACGGGTCCGGAATAGGGTTCCGAACTCGTCTTGAAAACTATCTAGATGTCGAATTCATCATCTTCCATGATATATAGGTTATATATACATAACAAAAATTTTATAAATCATTTCGAAAGAGAAATACGTGTTTGGAGGATCGTTTCTTCGGGTTCCTCCACTTTCTTCGGTACTAGTGGCCCCATCTCAAGTATGGTGTATCATCAGAATTGGTTCGTTTTGCATATGCAATCCCAGTTCCAAAGGGCGGGATAACACACGCCGTCCAATGTTAAAGTGGGGAGAAATCCATCATAGTTGTAACTTTCCGATTGCACCTTGTCCATTACATTTTCTATTGAGATCAACAAGAAATATCACATATCGCCACGTTGGAAGCAATCCTATCCGGTATCATTAAAATATTTCCAATGTACGTGTGATCAAATTGACCCGGTATTTTATCGAGAAACGATAGGAAACACACTCTCAAACGATACCTTGAATGAAGGGTTGAATACCAGATAACCCTGGCACTTTTTTTTTCGTTAAAGTGATTTGTATTAAAAATAAAACCGCTTTACATCCAGTCAAGACTGTCTATAAAAATAACAGGAATCCATGAGCAAGTGGTAAAAAGAATTTCACTCTTACAAAAGACATATTCCTAAGGCCGTTGTATATTTCTCGTTAGAAAATACCAATCTTCTAATATGGAGGCTCTATCTTCATTCGGCTTACGCTTGATAGAGAGGAGTATAGTATGCATTGAGCGATCTACCTTCCATCGTATGTGTTCGACGGATCTTGTCTTACCTCGAAAGATACGATGATTCATTTCCCTCCATATTTCGTAGATTGCAAACTGCAAGAGAAATTTTGATATTGGTCTTCTATTTCTTCTTTCATCATTACCCTCGTTGTTGAACCATTCCACAAAACTTGCAGAATTCATTGGCGGATTTGGCCAGCACAAAGCCCCGAAATAGCACCAGATTTGGGCACTGTATACACACTCAAAGAACAAGTGGTTGTGAGACTCATCTGCTACTTGGCAAAGGCTGCAACAAGAGTCAGTTACCACTCCCCATCGTTGTAACCGATCCTTGGTGGGCAGACGCTGCAACATCACCTGCCAATTCAAGATAGCGTACCTAGGGATGCATTTCTGGAACCAGACAATGGAGTACCAATTGACAGCCTCGTTGGTGTTCCTGATGAGGTCCCATGTTTTGGCGGTACAGAAGTGCGGCCTGAAGTCGTCCTCCGTGTGTTTTCATAGTGCAACATCGTCACTACCATCAGTGGACGGAGGTGTGATGGTAGATAGGTGCACCAAGAGTTGCTGTAGTCGGTTTGAGCGAACTGGTGGTAGAGACCAAGATCCTTCACGAACTGTCTGGCTCACCAACAACTGAAGTGGAATCCGAAGGCTACATGATCTAGACGATCCTACGAATCTGATCAGAGGTCCGAGAGTTGTCCAAGGATCGTGCCAGAATAAAGCAGACTTCCCATTGCCAATTTGGAGACGGAGAAACTGAAGAGCAAGGTCTTTTAAACCTAATAATTTCCGCATATTCCAAGAGAAACGTGGGGAAGGAGACGTGTTCCAGAATCCCTTCGATTTGAAGATGTTAGCTCGTGTCCATGCCACACACAAAGAGCCCGATTTTGCAAATAACAACCATATCAGTTTCAGCCGAAACACCAGGTTGAAATCAGCAATTGTTCGCAGACCAAGACCTCCTTCCTTACGTGGCTTACATATCGAACTCCAGGAGACTCTGTGCCCTCTTGATCTTGTCTCATTGGAACTCCATAGGAAGTTTGAGCATAAACTGTCAACCTACTTCATGAAGAATTTTGGCAGAACAAAAATCATACCCCAAACGTTAATCAAGCCATAGATAACAGTTCCAACTAACATAATCCTTCCTGCATAAGAGAGAGATTTAGTGGTCCAAGAATTCAACTTTGCTTTCACCCGATCAATGAGCGGTTGGTAGTCTGCTTTGGTAAGGCGTGAGTGGCTGAGCGGCACACCCAAATATCTCACTGGAAGAGTCCCTATATGGAATCCAATCTGAGTACTCAGGTCTGATGCTTCTTGGTGTTCATTCCGCCCAAGAAAATTTCAGTCTTTTCTTGGCTTAGGTGGAGACCCGACGCTTTACCGAAATCTGTCAGGATTCTCTTCACTTCCAGCAAAGTCCGAAGGTCCCCATTAGCGAATATCATGACATCATCTGCGAAGGAAAGGTGTGTAACTTTCGGTGTCCGACATTTTGGATGCAAGCGTACCCTATTTTCCACAGCCCCTTGGTCTAACATTCTGGAGAGAATTTCCATCGTAAGGATGAATAAATATGGGGAGATAGGGTCTCCCTGCCTAAGACCGCGTCGTCCCTTAAAAAAGCCTGCCAATTCGCCGTTAATTGATACAGAGTATTTTGGCGTTTCCATGCATACTTTAATCCAACACACAAATTCCTGAGGCAGATTCATCGCTTGTAGGATTCGTATAACAAATTCTCAACAAACTGTATCAAAAGCTTTCCTTAAGTCCAACTTCAACATTGCCCTTTTAGATGCAGTCGGGCGGTTGTAATCTCGGACCAACTCTGTACCCTGGCACTTGACCATTCAACACATGACACAAACACGAAAACCAGTGATTGTAACAAATTCTTTTGAGGAGAACCGGAGATGCTTCCCCCCCAAGACAATCCGCAACTCGTGCTTTTCTGTTGTTGAATTCTTCGATTTTCAGACTTAGAAAAACGCGTGCACAGAGCATGCATGATCTTGTTGAATTAACACCCGTATTGATATGATTATTTCGAGGTTATTCAGAGGATGACATCGTGATCAAGAAAAATGTCATGGGATATGACCTGCACGTCAAGGAAGGTAACCTAGGTCGACAGGCCATAGAAAGTGATCTACATGTCATGCAACACGACACATTCACGATATGACGATCTGCATGTCACTTGCACGACTTTCCAACCCTCAAGGTCATCACGCTTGCGCCTGTCATGAAGACAGGACATGCGAACTAGTGGGGTTCCATAGCCAATAAAATGACCATATGTCACCTTCAACGACATGCACATTATACGACATTCCAATGACCCGCAGCCCACTCTATAGTTTCCAGAGAAAATGGGTGATTTTGTTGAAAGCGGAAGATGATGGGATCTACAAAGAGTTGTTTCGAAGGTATGAATATGTAGCATAGTGTAAATTTTTTAGTATAGTTAACATAGAAATTCATTTAATCCGTTTTAAAGAGTTTCACCGTAAAAGAAACGTTAGTTTTTGTTGGTATTTTAGAGTAAACGGTTAATTGGTTTTAATCTCTCATGGGATTCATGATGCACGTATATTACGAGTATGGTGGAGGAGTAAAATACTTGTAAAAGATGTGTCGTGAATTGGTTTAAAGTGTTATGATTCGTCGGAAAAGGTTACGTTTGGTTTAGAACGTGAAAAATGATCTCGGAAAAAATGGGAGGGCATCTCGAAAATGTGGGCGGACAGCCTGTTTTTTCTGAGGGATAAAGCTCGAATAAATGGGCGGGTAGCTCTAATAAACGAGCGGGTAGCCCGTTTTTTCTGAGCGTCCGTTTGAGCGAAAAGTCGCGACCGGTCGACGAAAACTTCCGAGTTTTCATGTCTTTTCGACGTTTTGGTGTTTATAAACACACTAGAGACCATATAACACGAAGAATAAGAGAAAAACACAAATTTGTGACAAGATCCAAGTGATTTTATGAGAGATTTGAGTGTTCTTGCGGATAGTTTTTCTGCAGAAAAACTATCGCAAGGGTCTTTTTGTTTTCGGTTAAACAAGGTTCTGTTTGATGATTGTCGGAAGGGTAAACCGAAATCATTGCCGCTTCATTGTATCTCAAAAGTGTATTCCTGTAATCCCATTTACCCGGTAGGGATGGAATAACGCTTTTAGAAAAGTGTATCACGCCTTGAAGTCATATCCGGTTCCCTACTGTTTCATACGTGTTTTGATAGGTTGAAGACATGATTATCATATCAGATTGAAGTCGTCGTCTTACCGAGTACGTATGAGTATTTATTATTTATTTAAACCTCCTACAATCTAAAAGCGTTATTTGGGAACTATGACTTCATGGTGATAATGAAGCGGAAATACTTGTAAAGTGTACTCAAAGTCTCGGTTAAATCCGTGGATAGAAAACTAATCAAGTTTACGATCGATGGATATCAGATTTCAACGATTCAAGTTGAAGATATCAGAAATATATCGAACGTGGTGTTTTGGACATAAAGAGAAAACTTTATGTTGTCTTAAGTCTTGTTGGTTGAAAAATCGACGGTAGATCTTTCTTCGATTGCGATTGTATAGAAGTTTTTCGGTTTGAAAAATGAAAATATATTATAGTTTGGTCTAAACTATAATGTTGAAGACTTTCGGAAAAAGAAAGTTTTTGTTTCTATAAGTTAATCGCAAAGAATAAGATCTTTGGAAATGGTATGTATATATTGTACAATGATGAAAAGATATACATGTTAAATCATAGCTATGTGGAAAAATGCTTGTATGTCGGTTATTTTGTGCAAAGGAAAAGATTGACGGAATATGTCAATGTTATGTTGCACAAAATAGTTTAGGGATGGAAATAAAACCTTATTGTTGATTACAAATAAAAGGATCTCTACTCAATATCTAATACAACGTTAGAGCTTGAGTTCAAAGAGTTAAACCTTTTATCTTGTGATTGAAAGCACGCAAATAAAAATCATCTCAAGGTCGGTGCTTTGAATTGCAACGTAAAGGAGGCTGGAGGTTTTCCTTAATAGATCTTTTGAAAAAGTGTCGAGTTGCACGACATGATTTTTGTTAAAAGATCTACCTATGTGAATACGAAGTTTGGCCGCTTCGAAAATGCTTTAAGGTTTGACATTTGTGCATTTATGAAGGGGATATGGATACATGGTCATATAAAAGTGTCAAGGAAAATAAAAACTTGTATTGATTTTGTGTGTGTTATGTACTCAGTAGCTCAACAGGATTACGTGGGTTCAATCGTTTTCGACACCTACAGAATTCGAGTTATTGAAGTATATTTCACTACGTGGAAGTTCAATCGTTACGACACTTTCACTTATGCACAAAATTGGAAACTGTTTGAAAAACACTTGATTGTTTCAATCATTTGTTGTTTACTCTAAAATGGTGGAGGATTGTTGGTATTTTAGAGTAAACGATTGATTGGTTTTAATCTCTCATGGGATTCATGATGCACGTGTATTACGAGTATGGTGGAGGAGTAAAATACTTGTAAAAGACGTGTCGTGAATTGGCTTAAAGTGTTATGATTCGTCGGAAAAGGTTACGTTTGGTTTAGAAGGTGAAAAATGATCTCAGAAAAAATGGGAGGGCAGTTCAAAAATGTGGGTGGGCAGCCTGTTTTTTCTGAGTGATAAAGCTCGAATAAAGGACGGTAGCTCTAATAAAGAGCGGGTAGCCCGTTTTTTCTGAGCGTTCGTTTGAGCGAAAAGTCGCGACCGGTCGACGAAAACTTCCGAGTTTTCATGTCTTTTCGACGTTTTGGTGTTTATAAACACACTAAAGACCATATAACACGAAGAATAAGAGAAAAACACGAATTGGTGACAAGATCCAAATGATTTTATGAGAGATTTGAGTGTTCTTGCGGATAGTTTTTCTGCAGAAAAACTATCGTAAGGGTCTTTTTGTTTTCGGTTAAACAAGATTCTGTTTGATGATTGTCGGAAGGGTAAACCGGAATCATTGTCGCTTCATTGTATCTCAAAAGTGTATTCCTGTAATCCATTTACCCGATAGGGATGGAATAACGCTTTTAGGAAAGTGTATCATGCCTTGAAGTCATATCCGGTTCCCTACTGTTTCATACGTGTTTTGATAGGTTGAAAACATGATTATCATATCAGATTGAAGTCGTCGTCTTAGCGGGTACGTATGAGTATTTATTATCTATTTAAACCTCCTACAGTTTTGGCATTTAGAAAAGGGCAGTATATATGATCCACGACCTTTTGGTAATGAACGACACAACCTACGAATCCTGAAACATGATCCGCATGTTTTGGAACACGAGTTGAAATTTCTGATTCATGACATATATAGGTCGTGGAAGGTCAATGAAACGCAAAGGTTATGGACACCCGAAGGTGACATCTAATGGAGGTCGTAAAACCACCCTGAAACACGGCCCGACCACAGGGCCCTCAAAGCTACAGATCCATGACCAGTTTTCCGGTCTTGGGAAGATCAAAACCGGTATTGAAGATTTAGGTGTGATTTTAAATTACCAAAATAACCTTATAAGATTATAACATCAATGAGAAAAGCTTGAAAACCGACAACTGTCTTCCCCTCTCTCTCTCTCTCTCGCTTCATCTCTCAACATCTCAGATCGATTTCGGTCTGTTCTCTGGTTTTTATCTCCACCGGCGATTTGACGGTGGGGCCGGATCTCTATCGGAGATCTAGATTGGTTGCATTCTGCCCACTGGTGAGTTCCTTCTCTCTCTCGCTCTCTGGCTTTTGGGTTTCGATCACTAGACGAAGAAATTCTTGGATTTTGCGTGGTTTGGTTGGCATGGGGTTTAGGACAAGATTGATTGTGTCTTTTATCACTACCTCTCTTCTCATTTCGTTTTCTTTGAGCTTGTTTGAATCGATCAATTCCCCTTCTCTTGTTACTTTTTTTTTTGTTTTTGCTGTTTGGTCCGCGTACACCTCCCATGGGATTTGTGTTAATTTTCGGTTTATTTGAAATTTTTCCTGTTTGATTTTTGTTGCTTGTGATAGCCTACAATCCTGTGACACGAGCAATATCTGCTACTTCCTTATTTAGCTGATTCCATACATTCATTCTGATTGATTATTTTCCTTATTGTAAATGCTCTTCTCTGTATATATGCCTCTGTTATGGTCTGATAATAAAATGAGACAATTCATATACATTCTCTTTGCTTATATGGTATCAGAGGTCTGAAATCGTCCATCGACGTTCTTAGATCCTCCGTTCCTATCTCCTCTGTTTTTCCATTTTGGTCATCTACTTAGTCCATTATCATGACTACCACATCACCCGTAACCAGTAACCCTTCAACCAACACACCCTCTGCCCCACTCACTGGTCTACCAAGTGATAATGTCACTCCATATGATCCAATGAATCCTGTCAGCACATTGATTAACGTCAATGTCTCCAATGTCACCAAACTTTCGGCGACAAATTACATCACCTGGAGCGTTCAGATCAAAGCTTTGCTTCAAGGGTACTCTCTGGATCAGTTCCTGGACTCTGAACAGATTCCATCTGCTACGGTAATTACCAACAGTGTTGTCTCTCCAAATCCTGCATTTGCAAACTGGTTTCGCCAGGACAGACTTGTGTTCTCGGCGATACTCGGCTCTATCTCCGGCTCCTGTCAGGCACTCATTGCCTCAGCCCCAACCTCTGCTGTAGCCTGGACAACTCTCGCTGCAACCTATGGTCGTTCGAGCAGAGGCCATATCAAACAAATCAAAGAGAATATGAAGCGATTCCTCAAAGGTCAGAAATCAATTGACGATTATATGCACTTCTTTAAAGTCAAGGCTGATGAATTAGCCTTACTCGGAAAACCAATGGATCACGAAGACTTGCTCGATCTCATTCTCGCTGGACTGGGGGATGAGTTTAAAACCATCAAAGATGTTGTTCATGCAAGAGACACTCCAATCTCTTTCACCGAACTTCATGAGAGACTACTCAGTCATGAAGTGGATATTTCCACTGCCTCGTCGGTTCTGTCTGATATTCCTATCACGGCAAACACTGTCAATCACAAGCCGCGTCAGTTTTCTCGCCCCAACTTTCGTCAAACATCTGACAACAGATCCTTCCGTCCTTCACATCCTCAGCCTCGGGGATATCAAGGCAAATGTCAATTGTGCGGTGTACAAGGGCATAGTGCACGCTACTGCAGACTCCTTCGCCAAGGACAGGGAACTTCTGTTCCTTCTCAGCAGAATTCCTCTGCTCATCATGGCTCGACACCCTGGCAACCTAGTGCCCATCAAGCTGCTCTCACCACACCAGCATCCTCACCCTGGCTGCTTGATTCAGGGGCGTCTCATCATATTACCACAGATCTTGCAAATCTGTCACTTCATGCACCTTACACAGGAGGCGATGAAGTCGTTATTGGAGATGGTTCTAGTCTATCGATAACACATACGGGTTCTATGTCTCTTCCCTCTTCTCGCCATCCTCTTTCTCTCAATCATGTTCTTTATGTACCTACTATGCAGAAAAACCTCATTTCAATCCACCAATTATGTGTTTCTAACAATGTTTCGGTGGAATTCTTTCCCCACTCCTTTCAGGTGAAGGATCTCAACACGGGGGCACAACTCACAACCGGTCGGCTTAACAACGGAGTTTATGAATGGCCAGCACTTCCTGTCATCAAATCTCAAAGTTTCAGTTCGGCTCCTCTTGTCTGTTCTAGTGTCAAAACCACTCTTCATGAGTGGCATTCTCGCCTCGGACATCCATCCACCGAGGTTCTCAATAAAATCATTTCTCAGTTTTCGCTACCATTTTCAAAGTCATCGAGTCAGTTCATGTCATGTGAGTCATGTTTCGTTAATAAAAGTCATAAACTCCCGTTTCATTCCTCTTCCATTACATCATCTCGCCCACTTGAAGTCTTGTTTTCCGATGTATGGAGTTCTCCGGTTGTCTCTTTCGATGATTGCAAGTACTATGTTCTCTTTGTGGACCATTTTACTAGATACACATGGTTGTATCCTCTAAAACGCAAAGCTGACGTTTCCTCTGTTTTCATACGATTCAAAGCATTGGTTGAAAACCGTTTTCAATGTAAAATCGTCTCCCTTTACTCCGATAATGGAGGCGAATACATTGCTCTCAAAAATTTCCTCTCAACCAATGGCATCTCTCATTATACAACTCCACCGCACACCCCCGAACATAACGGGATTTCTGAACGAAAACATCGACATATAGTCGAAACGGGTCTTTCTTTCCTCACCCAATCTTCTATTCCGGCTGAATATTGGACTTTCGCTTTTCCCGCTGCCCTTTACTTGATAAATCGTCTTCCAACTCCTGTCTTACAGTCTCGGTCACCATTTGAATCTCTCTTTTCATCGACCCCCAACTACTCAAAGTTGCGTATTTTTGGTTGTCTCTGCTTTCCATGGTTACGCCCATACTCCCGTCATAAACTCGAACCTCGGTCACTGCCCTGTGTTTTTGTTGGATATTCACTTACACAAAGTGCATATCTCTGTCTTCATGTACCTTCCTCTCGAGTTTATGTATCTCGTCATGTCAAGTTTGTCGAAACTCAATTTCCTTATCCTCGTCCTCTGTCAACCTCCCCTGATAAGAATTCTGCGTCTCCTTCTTCCTCTTCCTCATCTTCTCTGGTTCCTTGCTGGCCATCGCATACTCTACTCCAGTCGACAATGCTCCCCTGTTCAGATTCTTCGCTGTTGCCATCTTCATCAACTTCTGCCCAGAACCAGGTATTTTCTCATCCATTGCCCACTCATCAAACTACTCTACCTACTACAGACACGTCACCCACTATAGCCGACACCACCTCAAACCCTCCACTAGATACACCACCATCTGATTCTCTCTCCTCAGCAAACAATCCACCTCTTCCTACAGCTGCCAGATCACGAGATCCCACCCCACCGCGCAACCACCATCAAATGACTACTCGTTCTAAAAATCACATTACCAAACCTCTCACCAAACTTTCTCTCAACACCGTCCTCACTCCACCAACCGACATAGAACCCACTTGTGTGTCACAGGCTCTTAAATATCCCCAATGGCGACAAGCGATGTCAGATGAGTTCAACGCCTTGATAAAAAATGGAACGTGGAGCCTTGTTCCTCCGGATCCGACATTCAATGTGGTTGGCTGTCGATGGGTGTTTAGAACAAAGCGTCTTCCTGATGGATCAGTTGACAGACATAAAGCGAGACTAGTAGCCAAGGGTTTCAACCAAAGACCCGGTGTTGATTATACAGAAACTTTCAGTCCTGTTATCAAGCCTGCGACAATCCGTGTGATTCTTAGTGTGGCTGTCTCACGAGGTTGGGAGCTCCGTCAACTCGATGTTAATAACGCATTTTTGCAGGGTTCTCTTCAAGATGATGTGTATATGGCACAACCACCCGGATTCATTGATCGGGATCAGCCGTCCTTCGTTTGTAAACTGCATAAGGCGATCTACGGGCTCAAACAAGCTCCCAGAGCTTGGTACAATGAGCTCTGTCACTTTCTTCTGAAGATGGGCTTTGTCAACTCTCTGTCGGATACCTCTCTTTTCATCTTCAATCACGATAATATCATCATCTACCTTCTTGTCTACGTGGATGATATCGTGATTACAGGAAATCTTCCGACAGAAGTACAGAGATTCATCAACAGCCTTGCCTCTCGTTTCTCACTGAAAGACTTGGGATTGCTGTCATTCTTTCTTGGTCTTGAAGTCAAACGGACACATCAAGGTATTCACCTGACTCAGAAACGATACATACGTGACATTCTCACTCGACACCACATGGCAGAAGCCAAACCAGTTCCTACTCCACTCTCCTCCACTACTATTCTGTCAGCTCACTCAGGGACGCCTATCGAAGACCCTACTGAATATCGCCAGATTCTCGGTGCCCTGCAATATTTGGTTCTTACACGTCCAGACATTGCTTATGCAGTGAATAAACTCTCCCAGTATATGCATCAGCCTACGTCAGACCATTGGCAAGCAGTTAAGCGTATCCTACGCTACATTAGCGGCACCAGCTCGGTTGGTCTGTTTTACTCGAAGAATACACCCATGTCCTTACACGCTTTCTCGGACGCTGACTGGGGCGGGGATCGCGACGACTTCACGTCGACGGGAGCTTATGTGATTTATCTTGGCAAAAATCCTGTTTCCTGGTCTTCAAAGAAACAGAGATTTGCTGCGAAATCGTCCACCGAGGCTGAATATAAGTCTGTTTCTTCAACAGCCTCAGAAGTTCAGTGGCTTGTGTCATTACTGTCGGAACTCGGCATTACCATTCCATCTACGCCAGTGATATACTGTGACAATGTGGGAGCCACATATCTCTCGGCTAACCCGGTTTTTCACTCACGGATGAAGCATGTTGCAATTGACTACCACTACATTCGTGGATTGGTTAAAGATCACCGACTTCGGGTCACTCATGTCTCTTCAGCAGATCAACTTGCTGACACATTGACTAAGCCACTGCCAAAAACCCGATTTGAGCTCCTCCGACTCAAGATCGGCCTCATACCCGACACCGATCTTGCGGGGGCATGATAGCCTACAATCCTGTGACACGAGCAATATCTGCTACTTCCTTATTTAGCTGATTCCATACATTCATTCTGATTGATTATTTTCCTTATTGTAAATGCTCTTCTCTGTATATATGCCTCTGTTATGGTCTGATAATAAAATGAGACAATTCATATACATTCTCTTTGCTTATAGCTTGACTGTTGAAATCTAAAACCCTTTTCGGTGAACGAATTTTAGGAAAAGTGGTTTAAGTATAATCAGTTGAAACGTGGAGAAATACTGGGAAATCCATTTGCTTTTTGATGAACTATGGTTCTATTTGCAGAAATGGTACTTTGATTTCAACCAGTGGATGGGTCTTTTTTTGAATGTGACTGGAGTCGATTCCTAGCTTCTTCCATCCCAGCCTTTAGAGATTTATTACTCTTTTCCTTTACTGAGCTGTCTTGTTCAATTTCATAGTTTTGTGCTTTTTCTGTCTCTTCTTTGTAATGATAATGCATGGTTCCTAGTACGATCATTCTTGTCATGTGTGAGTTTCACCACTTTCATAGGTTAATGTTCTTTCTGCATTTTGATGAACTGTCAAAAGGGTGTTTTATAAACTGAAGATCAAACAGTAAGATGTCTCTGTTTCATGGCTAAATCCATACAAATCACATCTATTCATGTTCTTCAAGTGTCACCGATCATTAAGATGCCTCTGTTTTGTGACTTATGGTGCTACTCTTTTCTCAGAACTGTTTTATGGTAGTGATATGTGGTTTCCGAGGTGGGACTCTGACATTATGCAATATCTTTCTTATGGTTATTTTGTTTTGTGTCAAGTGTCTGTCGAAAAATTTACAGGCATATCTTTCTCTTTGCAGTGATGAAACTATAGCCGCATTTTTTGAGGCCGTGGGAAATTCTGTGGATGAACTATTGCTAAATAAATTTAAGACAGACTGTAAAACTGGTCATTCATCTTGTAGCTTCACTTCTAGATGTAGTGCATTGTCGTGATCTATTGTCACCGTTTGTCCACTGGTTGCTAGAGCAGTCTTGTTTCTTGCTAAACAACTAGTTTTCCTTGAATACTAAATCTAGATTCCAGGAATTGTTTCTTTGATCCCCCCCCCCCA